CCCCCCCCCCCCCCCCCCCCCCCCCCCCCCCCCCCCCCCCCCCCCCCCCCCCCCCCCCCCCCCCCCCCCCGCCCCCCCCCCCACGGACGAAATTATTGAAAAAAAGGCCAGGGTAGTACAGGTATATTTCTGAAGAAAAATATTTTTCAAACAAAAGAGGAGATAGGTTTGCAAGATACAGAGGTCAGCCTGAGCCAGGATGGTGCCTGTTAAGCTTACCCAGCGAGAGGACAATGACTAAGTACACTCAAATATGTATAGTTCTACTCAGTTTTTGATGCTGAATCAGAATAAAATAGTTTCCAGAAGAAATCGTAAGAGTAACTGTGCGAAAAACCGAAATGTCTCTAAACCGGTCATTTTACCGGGGTTTTAGAGGTTATTGATAATTTTTTGAAGTTAAGCCGGTCATTGCTGCTTGTACTCACACCCGGTTTGTTCGTCGGTCTCGTTCGAGCTCTGGAAAAGTATATATTATCTAACTAGAGATGCATGAGCAAATAGAGATAAAAAGTTTCTCCAGAACGGGGTAATCGGCCATGCTGAGTGTATTATTGTAAACCCCACAAATATAAACTAAGAGTTGAAGAGCTTCACACACTCATCAATATGTAGGCTATTTACTTTGTTCGTCTTTGGCTTACGGTGTTATGCTACGTGTTACACATTTTGAGGGAAAAAATTGACTTCCACTTATTCATCACCGACAAGAAATTGTTTCTATTTATGTTTATTGTCAAAATGAGAAAGAACAACTAGAACGGATTGCCAAAGACTATGAAAAAACTAGAAATAAGACTTTTATTGATAAAAATTTATTTATTCAATGAGTAGAAAAATTGTATTAGATGCACGCACCGATGAAAGTTTTATATCCAAAGGCAAACAAACGTTCTTTAGTTTTTTTCCTCAACACGAAAAAACAAATCCAATACGAAGTTTAGATAAAGAATCTGTTAAATTCTTTTAGGGTTCTATTAATAACTGAAGTACGAATATCATCTATCTATCTATATATATATATATGAAGAATATTTGTCTATTTGTCTGTTCTTTATGCATTTGGCCCCTGTAAGAGCTAGCGCCACCGAACTTTCCATGGATGAGGGTGAGGATGAGAAACTCCTTGCTTTCTCATGGCCAACTTTACGTGGCGTGTTCAAGAGTCCAAACTATGTCTTTTTCTAATATGTCAAGTAATGTAATATCAAATTTTCCCGAGCAACGCCGGGTATTTCAGCCGATTGAGTGATAAAGCAAAAAGTACAATGATAAACGTTTGTCGTGACTTTTATCGGGACAATTCGACAGAAAATAAGATGGGAAAAAGACATAGTCAGTTCTACTAATTCCGGGTTCCGAACCATTGTATATTCAAAAAATAGAGCACCTTAGGTGTGGTCGAACAAAAGTATTCAATCAAATCATCAGAATTATGTAAAAATATGATCACGGAAACCTATGGCGAAAAAACAGTAGGTGAAACATTGTCATAAAGTTTGTCTGACACACATACATATGTATATTTCGAGCTGGCAATTTTCTTCGTTCGAAAGTGTGCAAATATCCATTGACATTTTATCATCATCATCATGGTTTTTTAAACATATGTGAATGCCATCTCCTACGCAGTTTAGTAATTCATCCACTTTAATAAATACATCTTTTACCTTTAAATAATTTAAAAAAAAGAGCACTTCTATTGATTCTGTCAAATCTGTACGACATTGTACCTGATGCTTGCTGATACGATGTGAAGGATAATGTATGTGACGGACATAGTTAGTCTTCTTTTTCCATTTCATATTTAATTAGATCCACACAAATTGAAATTCGGATTATTTTTTCGCATCATAAATATCATCTAATGTTATTGTTTTATCGATTGTATAATTATCATCTGATAATTGATAAACTTCACCATCTTGTTCTCGAAACAGTAGTTAACCCATTTCATGTAAACGCTGACATGGAGTTGATTGTGAACAACTGAATTCTTGTAATACTTATAAGTAAAAATCTGAAAAGTAGGGGCGACCTTTTATTTCAAATTCTACAGGATGAGTTCAACAGAGATCTTCTATTTAGGGGACCATTTACTGTAATCTGCTTATAACTTGCAGTTCAGTTATTTACTGACTGATGACAATCAAATTAATAAATACGTCGAAATATCGAGTTTGTAAGAAAAAATGTTTAATTAAAAATGAACACGTACAACAAAGCGCAATATCGTGCAGTGATTTATTTAAACCTCCTGTTAAATTTATATTATCAAATGGACTCTATCCACACAAAGTTGATTTCTTATTTGAATTGAATTAACAGATTAGATGAATAATTAAAAAGGAGTATCAATTTTTTTGATCACCAAATTTTCCAATATGGATCTCACATTTTTATTTCTCAACAAAGTATAATGTACAACACAAACATACAACTTACGTTTCATTTGGTTTTGGAGAGTGTAGAAGAGAAAAACTGGGACAATATTTTTTCCCAAGATCTTTCTCTATCCTTTGTAATGAGAAAAATTTAAGTAAGATATTCTGAAAATGTTCCTAGGCTTCCGATTCAACGAAAATAATGTGAGTTCAATGATTAATAGCATGCGTATACAAGTGTTCAACCTTGCTACTTTTGTTGTTCTGTTCTTTCTCTTTGCCTCAGCTTCATTGTTAATAACACAGGTCATATAATTTTATGGCATTTTGTGCATTCAAATCGAAGAACAACAAGAAAATCTTATTGAAGAGAAGTACATTTCTTAACTTTCAAAAAGACTTCTTACTGATGTACTTTCATTTTCATTCTTTTCTACTTCTTTTTGAAAAATGTTTCAAGTACTCAATTGAGGGGAAGAATACAGTTGTAGCATATTTTAGTATACTTATTCTATAACGATGACTCACAGTCATAAAGCAGAACTGTAGCGATAAGTGAATTGGGCAAGACGACAGAAGTGTCCATTTTTCTGAGTCTGCTATTGTATGTGGTGATCAGTTTTGTACTATTATTAGTAGGTAAACTGTATTAACAAATAAAGAGCGAGGGTTTTTGCGCAGAAGCAGATAAAAAGCAGTCAGTATTTGGAATTTTCTTCGTTTGGTTTCATAACTGAAACTATCTACACCGCCTTACTAAACTGAGCGCAAAACAAGATGTATTTTGTCAGATTTTAGGAAAAGACCGAACAACATAAAGGATCCACTTTGGCAACATGACAAATATCATTTGCTTCGTCTGTTTACTACTCCTGCTTTTAGCACAAGCCAGTCAACAACTTGATTCCGCTAACAATCCACCCTTCAATCAAATATGTGACTCACCTTGCAGTACAATACATAATAATTGTACAATATTGTCCGACTACTGTTATATAAATCATCAATGTTATTCAGTTAATGACCCTAGCAGTTGGCCGTATCGATGTTTGCAATGTTTACCTAGAGTGAATCAATCTGAATGGACCTTTAATCCGGCTTGCTCAGTAGAAGACGATTTATGTCAAAATTCAACATTTATTGCTCTTCATCTATGTCCCATGCAAATAATAGAAGAATTTTATAGATCTTCGAACAATGCTGCAATTACGTTATATGATTTTTATCATTGTTCACCTCATGGCTACCATTATTCATGTCAAGCAGGATTTTTTTAATGACCTATGCTAATCTAACAGTGCCGCGTGCTTGCTGTCCTGCAAGTTTTTGTCTTGCTGGCCAAATATGTATGATCCTGTGCCGCTACGCAGCCTATTGTCCATCGTCATTAATAGCACAACAAGGATTTTGTCAGACTAATGCTCAATGTCTAAATAGACCACCCATACAATTTGATGCACTGGGTTGCGGTGGATCAAGTATTGAAGGTTTTTGTCCAAACCAGACATACTGTCCAAACGCATCTATTAGTATACCATGTACAAACCAGTACTGCCCTGCAGGTATAGTGGAACCGTTGACGTGTCGGGGCTTTAAGTGCGCGAACGGAGCATTATTGAAGAAAGTAACATTGATTGTTACAGTTTTATCAACTGTTATATCTGTTCTATTTTTGTTAAGTTGCTGGTTAAAAATTAAAAGGATTATAATTGAGATATGCAAAATGAAACGCAAAATGAAGCAATCTGATCATTATGTGCTAGTCCTAGTTGATCGTCAAACAAGTAACGAGTCAACAGTAGATGATGAAATGATTAGTAACTATTTTCGACCTCTCACGGATCTTGAACAAACTTCATCAGATAATACTGAAATCAATGTGCAATTTCAAAATGCTAAGCTGGACATTTCTTCATGGGATTCAGAAAATCGGGGATTAACAGGAGCGATAAAAGCTGGTCAATTAACAGCCATTCTTGGCCAATCTGACTGCGGGAAAACGCAATTTTTATCTGCAATACAAGGTCGTACTCGTTTGAAGAGTGGACAAATATCAATCAATAACCGTGATCCGTTTGACAGTCGACTATCGAATCTAGTTGGTTACGTTCCTCAGGATGATATTTTACATCAAGATTTAACAGTCTTCGAAACGGTTTATTATTCGGCACGAGCAAGACGTTTGAATGTTAATCCAATGACGATAACCATGATGTTCAATTTATCCTAGAAAAATTAAATATGAACAGAAAATCAGATGAACAAATTCAACATCTATCTGGAGGTAAAATCATGTTTTCATAGTTACATACGATAACGCATATTGTTTTTCTGTTTAGGACAACGAAAACGTGTCAGTATTGCAATGGAAATAGCTGCATGCCCTAAATTGTTATTACTTGATGAGCCAACCAGTGGTTTGGATAGTTTTGTTTGTGAAGAACTATTTTCTCTGTTAAGTCTCATTAAACATAGTCAAGATGGTTCCGTTAACATAATCATGGTTATTCATCAACCTGGTCAAGAATTATTTAATCAAATTGATCATGTTCTCTTCTTTACTCCAAAATGTTATTTAGATTATCAAGGTAAAAGAGTAAATGCTTTAACATTTTTAAAAAATATATCAAGAACGCATATATCAGATGTAGTTCCGTTATTAAACACATGTGATGAATATATCTATGCTCTTCGCAATTGTCCAGATATTAATCATCATGTTAAGACGACTGACGAGTTTGTTCTCAATCCACTACCTTTATCGTTATGTTCTTGTCCAACCTTAAGTGTGATATTTAAACCCATTGTATATTTAATATATCGTACAATGAAGCAACTATGTTATCGAAACTGCTACACAGAAACGGTTTATGTGATATCCTATCTCTTATTAGGTTAATTGTGGGAATATTATTTGATATTGAGACTCAATCGTGTAACATTGATGTTGTACCATCTATCTATTTTATGATTAGTTTGGCCTTTGGTGCTGCAACGCGTGTGTCTAGTCAACGTTTATTTGGCGTAGAAATTGTAAATCAAACATTTGTTCGTGAATCTCGTAACTACTATCATCCTGTACAATACTGAATAGCAAAAACAGTAGTCAGTAGTCTATACATTGTTTTACATCCAGTATTATTTTTAATTTTACTGTATATTGAAATTCAACCAAGAGCTAGTTTTGATCAATATTATTCTGTTTTACTTCTAATGGCATTTTCATGCTCAGGTATCGGTCAACT